AGAGAGAGAGAGAGAGAGAGAGAGAGAGAGAGAGAGAGAGAGAGAGAGAGAGAGAGAGAGAGAGAGAGAGGGAGAGAGGGAGAGAATTCTCTCAAGCCAATGAGTGTGGATTATCAGGACCAAGACCATGGGATGCACGTACTTGATGGAACACGGTTATGTTTGATGGAATGGGACACAGTTTACGAAGCACACCAGTTGAACATAGTTTATGGATACGTTTGAGTGCACAAGGGGAAGCACACCCGTTGAACATAGATGGATACGTTTGAGTGCACAAGGGGAAGCACACCCGTTGAACATAGTTTATAGATATGTTTGCGTGCACAAGGGGCATGCAGATTGGGATAAATTTGATGGAAACAGTGGCAGAATGTACCAGAATACACAGTATATGGGGCACTCTCACTTGGACAGTTCATTGGAGATAGGTTTGATTTGCAAAATGGCACACAGGGTATGAGGCATGTTCCTGGGACAGAGTCCATATAGCATGCTGAACTATCTGCTTTCCCCGAATACAACGTACGGCCATTACAGCTGTATTTAGACCAAAGATACCCCAAATGCAGCTATAATGACCGTACGTTGTATTCAGAGGAAGAAAGTACGTAGAGCTTACATGACATGCAAGTACGTATGGCTTACATGACATGCTCTATTGGGCAAGTGTACAGGACACTCCTGATTGGGCACAGCAATACACTCAACTGGACATAGCGTGCAGGACACGCTGCATTGGACAAGTCTTTGCAGCATGCTGAGCTTGATACAGCTCGCAGGACACACGCGATTGGGCAAAGTTGACAGGACATGCCCGATTGGACACAGTCTACGCAATACGCTTACTAGGACATAGCCTACAGAACATGCTCGATTAGACATAGTTCATGGGACAGTGTGTGGGTAATACAGGACATAGCCTACAGAACATGCTCGATTAGACATAGTCCATGGGACAGTGTGTGGGTAATACATAGTCTGTGCAACATGTTGAGCATAGTCCATGGGACAGTGTGTGGGTAATACATAGTCTGTGCAACATGTTGAGCTGGGTACAGTTCACAGTAAGCACGCTCCGCCGGACATAGTTTGTGTGACACACCGTATCATAGATAGTACATGGGACATAGTTTATGGGGCGTACTAGTTGGGACGCAATTGGCTGCACACACTGGATAATACATAGCGCATGGGACACAAATGGCATGGCTCGTAGTTTCTGAGGCATGGGACATAGTTTATGATGCATGAGACAGAGTTTGTGGGGCATGCTCATTGGGACATAGTGTGGATGTGGGACACACCTCATAATACATAGTACACGGGACGCACTCGACAATACATTTCGCTTGGGACATGCTGTTTATGGGGCATGGAACATAGTTTATGAGGCATGGGACATAGTTTATGATGCATGAAGTTTATGAGGCATGGGAGATAGTTTATGAGGCATTGAGACATAGTTTGTGGGGCATTCTTTATGAGCCATTGAGACATAGTTTGGGGTTATGAGGCTTTGAGACATAGTTTGTGGGGCATTCTTTATGAGCCATTGAGACATTGTAGTTTGTGGGGCATTCTTTATGAACCATTGAGACATTGTTTGGGGGGGCATGCTCATTGGGACATAGTGTGGAACTGTGTGACACACTGGGTGGAACTGTGGGACACACTGGATAATACATAGTACATGGGACTGGATAACACATAGTACATGGGACATAGTTTTTTTTATGGGCCATGGGACATAGTCTATGAGTCATGAGACATAGTTTTTTTACGGGTCATGGGACATAGTCTATGAGTCATATACGAGGCATGAGACATAGACGTGGGCCATGCTCATTGGGACAGTGTGTGGAACTGGACATAGTTTACAGGGAACACTTACCAGAACACAGTCCACTGGGACAGATTGGATACTACATAGTTTATATGGGTTATCGGTCATACCTCAAAAGAACATGCATATGGGTTGGTTGATGACACAGCGCATGCAAATGAAGGAATGGGATAGTTAGAGGACTTTGGCCGCACCTGGCATCAGTAACACTTATAAATTGCCTCAATTTGTCCTTCTGCATTCTATTTAGCCTGTGCTGCAGTGCCAAAAAAAACACAAACATATCAGTTTCTGTCAAGCTCCACCAAATAGTTAAGAGTGCCCATCTGCTGGCCCTGCATCTAGCCATATGGTTGCCTAGACATTGGTGTCCTCACGGGGCAGTGGAAAGTTTGACGACATAATCCATTGCAAATAGATTTCTTTTCATTCCAAAAGTTTATCAACGGCAATCTGTTCCAGATCTAGGCTACCAGCCGGTCCGCCCGGGTCCCGGGTGGCCAGCCCGTGCAAGGACCAAGGAAGGTCCCAGCAAAAAAAAAAAAAAAAAAAAAAAAAACCGAAAAAAAACTATGATATGCAGAAAAATAAACTGAACAACTTTTGCCTCAGGGTCACATCGAAATTCTT